GAATGATGAGGAGGAAGCAATGGAGACTGAGGAGGGGCAGCCATTGCGGTAGGTGGAAAGCTAGTGAGAGTGATCCCAGAAGCCCAGTGAACAACAGTATCGAATGCAGCTTACAGAGCTCGTGAGATGAGGACTGAGAAGTAATCATTGGATTAGACAATGGTGAGGGCATCGGTGACCTTGACAAGAGTAATTGTGGTGGAGTCGTGGGGTGAGAGTAAGTTCAAAAGAAAATGAGAGGAGAGACGGTGAAGACAGCAATTATAGACAAATATTTTTGAAGAGTTTTCAGTAAAGGAGAGCAGAAAAATGTAGCTGGAAGAGAATATGGGATTGAAGGAGCTTATTTATTTATTTTAAGATGGAAGAGAGGATGATGAAAATGATCCCATAGAGATGAGCAAACTGATGATGCAGAAGAGGTGGAAAGAACTGGTGGAGCCCTGTAGTTACATAGGTGAGGAGGGATGGGAACTAGTGCCAAGGTGGAGGGGTTCACCTAGGTAAGAACGCACGCAGTGCATCTATGGTAACAGAAGGGACTGCAGAATACGTGGAGACAGATGCAGGTAGGCGGTGGAAGCATGTGGAAATTCTCTTCAGATTGCTTCTATTTTCTCCATGAAGTTAGAAGCTAGACCACCAGCAGAATGAGGAGACAGGAGGACAGGTCAGAGGTTGGAGGAGAGAGAAGGTAAAAATAGCTGTCAGGGAGGGTGGGAGAGTGCACAGAACTGAGGAAAGGCAGGAGCATTGGTGATCAACACAAAGGGTGTTTGAGAATATGAATTTAAGTTAGACCAGTCATCCTGAAGATGTGTTTTTCCAGCCACATTCAGCTGCTTGTGTGCAGGCTGGAGAAGGCACCGTGATGGGGTTTTACCAGATGAATATGATGGGAAAGAGGGGCCAGGGAGTTGGCATATGCAAGGGACTGATTATAATGACAGATCATGGAATCAAAGCTAGATAAGGAGAGAAGGGTGGATGCGATGGGGCTAGGGGACACTGAAGAGGAGGTATGATCAATAGATGAGAGACAGGGCCAACTTATCCACAGGAGGCACAGTGCCAAAGGCCCACAATACCTTTAGAGACCCACAAAATGATTTAATTGTAATTTATTTTAAAATCAGAAGAAAAAATAGAATATAATAAAAATGAATAAATAATAATGGATCTAGCTTGGATTATATTTGTCTTTATACCAATGCAGTCATAAAATATCATTTTTAATATTCTTTTGTGAAGGAAGGGGCCCATGAATTTCACTGAAGTGCCGAGGACCCACAAAAGTTGTAATGTGGCACTTATAAGTGATCCCAGGGAATCCAAATTCAAGATTTGTTGAATGTATTTATAATGGTGAAAAGTAAACACAACCTAAATATCCAAAATTGTTTGAGTCTAGGTACTAGAGGGCATGGGCTGAAAAGATACACATTGGTAATAGGAAAGTGTGATACTTAAAATTGAGATTATGGAGTGTGTGAAGTATTGGTAATAACAAGGTTCGGGTGGGACCATCCTCATTGGTGGAGAAAAAGAAACTAAGGAAATGAGAAGCCGGTTTTATCAGTTATCTATTGCCATATTAACAAACCACCCCAAAACTTAGTGGCTTAAAGCAGCCACCATTTATCTGCTTGTAGTTTGGTAATATGGGCTGGGCTCTGCTCAGCATTTCTTCTGTTGGTCTTGCCTAGGCTCACTCATATGGCTGCAGTCATCTGGAAGCTTGACTGGGGCTGGTAATATGACCTCACATGTCTGGTGGTTGTTGGCCAGGTTACCTCAGTTCTCCTCCATGGCCTTCTCATCTTCCAGTAGGCTACACTGGACTTCTTTACACAATGTTAGAAGTATTCTAAGAGGGCAAAGGGGCAAGCTACAAGGTCTCTTGAGACCTAGACTTTGGGGACTCACACAATGTCATTTCTGTCACATTCAAGTCAAAGCAAGTCATAAAGCCAGCCCAGATTCAAGGGTCTGAGAAACAGACTCCAGGGGCTGAGAAACAGACTCCACCTTTTGCTAGGAGAAGCAGCAAAATCATTGCAAAGGGTCATGTGGGACAGGAGGAAGCGTACTGGCCATCTTTGCAAACAAACAATCACATTTATTGGAATAATTGTCTATGTGGTACTGCATCATTAAGAATCACCAAGAATTTGACAGAAGTGGGAGTGAAGAGAGTGACAACAAGCCACGTGCCAAAATCTTCAAAGCACAAGGGAGTAGTAAGTGATATAGTCTGATGCCATCAACCTCCAAAGCTTCAAATATCTCTATTGTTCCATCAGTGAGTGTCAATGAATTTCATTAATGAAAAGGAATTGTTCATTTTTACAACTTCTTTAACTCAGCCACTCATCAATTCAGACTCTATCTTAAGGAAGGAACCTAAACCATGGAAAGAAACTATATGCGTGAAAATTTGTGGCACTACTATTTATCCAGGAGCTGTGTCCCCAGTGCCTAGGATGATGTCTGGTGCATAATAGTAGCACACAGGTGCTCAGTAAATATTTGTTGAATGAATTTACAATGGCACAAAAGTAAACACAACTTTATAAGCATCCAATAATGAGGTCAAATAAATTATGGTATGTCTATTTAATGGAATATCATGCAGTCATAAAAAATTACGCTTTTGAGGACTACCAACATATGATATGGAGTAAAAAGCAGGATAAAAATTACAAGTACATGTAAAAAAAGCAGGATACAACATTACAGGTACTGTGTAAAAACATCTGGGTAGGAAAAGAGGACAAAACAACAATAGTGGTTTTATCAAGCTTTTAGGATCATGGGTGATTTTTTCTTTATTCCAAAAGTTCCTTAATGTTATTGAATTTCTTTTATAACAAAAAAAGTTGTACATGTTCATTGTGGAAAAGGGGGAAATGCTGAAAAGCAATAGGAAAAAAATAACCTATAATTCCATCATCCAGAAAAAAAAATCACTGCCAACATTGAGATAGGTTCTGCTTTGTTTCTTGCTCCCCCCCTTAACATATTCTTAGCGTTTTTGACATCTTTAGACGTCAAAAAGATGACTTTAAATAGTCACATAGCGCTGACATATAATTTATTTGGCCTACAGTAATTTTGGACATTATAGGTTGTTTGCAATTTTTCACTGAAAAAAAATTTAAACAAAATAAAATTGTTTTATTTATTTTGAGAGCCCTGGCATTACTCAAATTCAGAAAGTGCTTCAGGAAAGAGGTGAGCAGAGTTTCGGGGAAGGTGGCTAGAGTGATGGGGTGGGTGTGGCTAAGTCCAATGGAGATTGCAAGAAAAGTTAGTCCAGGGGCTCCGTCCTTCTGGGTGGGTGGGGTGCTATCTGTAGGAAGCTGCTCTGCACGGGCTAGGGACTCCTCCTTCCAATGTTTTGAACTTAAAGGTGGTGAAATCTTGATCTGAGGGATTAGAGGTGGGCAGTGGCATTCCTGACCTCTGCCCTCTGTTTCCTGTCCTTGCGGTGCACAGGTGTCTCTGAGCCCTTAGCCTGGGGGTACCGGTAGTCCTCCCCACTCCCTCCACATAATTCTCAGTCTGAGCTCTGGGTTTGGGCAGTTGACGATTAGCCTGAGGTCAAGAACGGATGTGATCCGGGGTACAGAAGTGGCAATTTGGGAGGAACATTTACGAGTCAGGGGCGTTCCCAACCCAGGGAGGCTTCCCAGTAGTAGTCACGAAAAGGAATGGAGTGGGAAAGACAGACTTGACGGCGGGAGGGATGCGGGGCGGGGCAGGCTGATACTCAAGATAGGCGTGGGTTGATCCTGGAAGGCTGTGGATGGCAATGAGGAGAGAAGAAAGCGGAGAGAGCCGAGGAGAAGAGCAGACAGATGAAGCAGGTATTGTAGGATTTACAGACGGAGGAGGCGTGGGCTGGTGACAGGAGGAGGGCGGGGAGCGGCAATGTGCCCTGAGCCTGCATGGGATATAAATGAGAAGCGTGATGGGAAGCGGGTTGGTGAGAGCAGAGGTGGGGCGTGGGGAGAGGGGCGCGGGTCAGGAGAGCGGGGATGCGAGATGGGAGAATAATAGGCCTGCGCACATTTGGCCGGCACTTGACAATCTGCTCCCATTGAGATTCCCGTAATTTCCTCCTTTTTTGAAGAAAGGGACGTTCGGAGAGGTCAGGCGGCAGCAGAGCGTAGGGGCCGGGGGAGCGCGAGACCGCGGAAGAAGGGGCGAGCTTCGGGGCGAGGTGCGCGCCGTGCGTGGCGGCGGGGTGGGCGCCGGCGGCGGGCGGTGGGGGG